CCCGCTGAGCAAGGAGCCCGACGTGGGGCTCGATCCCAGGACCCTGGGATCATGACCTGAGCCGAAGGCAGACGCTTAACGACTAAGCCACCCAGGCGCCCCTACCCATATAATTATTTAAGGAGGATTGAATCTTATACCAGTTTGTAATCACTCTGTACCCTCCCTCACCAATTTCTAAGCCCCTACTGTCCAGCTACTAAACTCCGACTTATTCCTAACTCAAAGTCTTTACTCAGTTCAAAAACTAAACAAGTATAGAAAGTGGGCAATTAGAGCAGCTGTGAAAAGTTAAGTTGGATGCATTCAATAGGCTGCTTCCCACTGGGCTAGCTCTGCAATAGGCAGAGAAAAGGGAGCTAGCAAAAGCTCACATGCAGTTCATTTATCCCTGGAAAAGGGAGGAGTAATGACTTCTTGCTTCTTTTGAATGGAAAGGAGGATGCTAAAGGGAGAGCATGTATCCCTGTCCTGCTTGGGACTTCAATTCTGGAAACAACTGACCTGTTCTCTAAGCCGGAGAAATTCCACACCGAGTCGCAGACAACTAACTACATTTTGCTTCCTTCCAAGCCAGCAATGTTTGACTAGCACTAAAAAACAAACCCACCACCCACCCACCAGTGCACAAGGCCAAAAGGGTGGGAACAGATGAAGAGTGGGACTGGCTTATAGGCCAGACACAGGCCTACTCACCTATAAAACTCCTGGAACAGCTTCCACAAGTTAGGTAATTATACTGATATGAAAACAGAACCTTCTTTTCCTTACATTGCTCAAAATCTATTTTTCACACTATTCCACTGTAAACACATTGAAAGCAGACATCTTAGTCATCTTCCTACCACCTTCCCACCCATTCCCACCACAACTCACATACAAAAAGACTGCAAACGTCTTGATTATACAAGTTATTTTTCATTGACATTGCTTGATTATAAAAGATGAGTTTTTGTAAGTCATCATTTTTAATGGTTCCATTTTTGGTAAGTCACAAAACTACTCTAGCTGAGAGTGCTGTGGCTAATACTCAAAGCTAAAGTCACAGCTTTCCCTACTTCATTCCCCTTTGGTTAAATCAGAGGAATAAAGAGGCTGAAACTGGGGCTTCAAGAAGATATTTTAAACAAAGTTGAAACTATGTATTTCCCACGTAGAATTAAAACTGATGACAAAAATAAACAAGAAAACTTGATGGAGGTAGGAAAGTTCCTCACACAGCATCCACTCCAGAGTACCCAGCAGTCTGAGGGATACGTTCCTAGGTCACTGTCCTTGAAACAACAGCCTGCCATATCCTCGTAATTCTTCCATGTTAGAAATGGTTATTTAAGCCTCCTCCTCTTTATTATATAGTTATGTTTAAATGTTTAGAATGCATTTGAGGGCTCAGTATAAGGATAAAAAGTGTTGGACAGTGAGGATATAGGAACATACCTATATTTTTACATCTTTTTTTTTTCCAGAAATAATTTTTTACACTACTTTTTGCTCTAAGTTAGGTTTTCCTAATAAAGTTTTAATGTCTGAATCAGATTCCCCATAATAGGAGCTACATAAGTCTCCTGATTTAAAAGCATCAAGAAGCATTATATCTATCCTTACATAGCATTCATCTTCTGCTCCCCAACCTTTGATCTAACTCCTCGAAGCCCTCAAAACACTAGAATTTAATCCAGTATTCATTGCCTACAATAAACCTTCACCTACTGATCAATTCACACCTTTCAAATCTAATCTGCAAGAGACACAACATCCATTTAGCCAAAGTGGAAAGTGACAAGCAGACCAGTGTTGAAGATCAAATTCACCACAACCTGGGGAAATCACCTAACATCTACCTGAAGAGCTGCAGAGCATATATTTAAAAACCCTACCTCTGCAGTTACATTTGACTTTAAGAAGGTATTTTAAGTAAGAATTTTAAAGGAAATTAAGAGAAATATGTAGAAATATGTTTACTGTACTTTTTAACAAGATCAACTAGAATCAACCTGAATGTTCTATAGATTTTATTTCTTAAATAAAGATTTTATTTCTTTATTTCTTCTTTCTACATGGCTCAGTACTTTTCACTAGAGCACTGAGGGAGGAGGAGTCATTTATGATTTGTTTATTTCTTTGTTTCTGTATCTGAACCTGATGAAATATTTTAAGTCATGAAATTATTAAAAATCATAATATCTATGAAAACCCAGAGTATTTGCCATAATCCTCCTTAAAAGAAAACAAATTATATGTATATATTTTTATTAAGTATACATACACATATATATACAAATTATATATATATATAATTCTATTAGAAAAATATACAGATAAGTGAAAAAATTAAAATTTATAAGGAGAGTTATATCATTTATTCAACAATTTAACTGAGGGTGTACCATGAATCAGGCTCTAGGTCAGGTGCTAAAGCTAAAGTGGTTTTAAAAAAGAAAAGACAGGGGTTGTCTGCAATAGCCAAACTGTGGAAAGAGCCGAGATGCCCTTCAACAGATGAATGGATAAAGAAGATGTGGTCCATATATACAATGGAATCTTACTCCGCCAGCAGAAAGGATGAATACCCAACTTTTACATCAACATGGATGGGACTGGAGGAGATTATGCTAAGTGAAATAAGTCAAGCAGAGAAAGTCAATTACCATATGGTTTCACTTATTTGTGGAACATAAGGAATAGCATGGAAGACATTAGGAGAAGGAAGGGAAAAATGAAGAGGGGGAATCGGAGGGAGAGATGAACCATGAGAGACTATGGACTCTGAGAAACAAACAGGGTTTTAGAGGGGAGGGGGGTGGGGGGATGGATTAGCCCAGTGATGGGTATTAAAGAGGGCATGTACTGAATGGAGCACTGGGTGTTATACGCAAACAATGGATCGTGGATCACCACATCAAAAACTAATGATGTATTGTATGGTGACTAACATAACATAATAAAATTTTTAAAAAAGAAAAAAAAAAAGAAAAGACAGAGGTGCCTGGGTAGCTTGGTTAAGTGATCGACTCTTAATTTTGGCCCACGTCATGTTCACAGGGTCATGAGATCGAGCCCCAAGTTGGGCTCCATGCTGGGGTGTGGAACCTGCTTAAAATTCTCTTGTTCCTCTGCCCTCCCCCACCCGGACTCCTGTACACTCTCTGTAAAAAAAAAAAAAAAAAAGGACAGTTCTGGCCTCTGCCTTCTTGGAATTACAATTACATTACTAAGTGAATAAGTGAAAATAAATGCTCTTATGTAAGTATGTGGGTTTTAGTTTTTTTCTAAATAACAATGCTAATATGTTAGTATTTTAGTAATATTATGTAGGCTTTTTGGCCAGGTGTGTGTTACAAGGCCTTTGCTGGGGGCTAGCCATTTATGACACAAATGTCAAGAAGTGGCACACGAAAATGACGACTATAGTTTCAAGTGCCAGTGGTGCATCATCACTGAAGGTGCCCTTTCTCATACATCCTGTAAAGAGAAAGAGAAGTCATGCTGAGGAGGACCATGAGGCAGTCCTCATCCTTCTTTCTACATGGCTCAGTACTTTTCATTAGAGCACTGAGGGAGGAGGAGTCATTTATGATTTCAAGAGACCAGCTACCTCTACATTCCTCTGAGTAACTAACACTCCTAAAGGAGCAACCAAATAAAGTGACACCTGGCACAGCACCTCGGAAAGACTGCCACCTTGAACTCTGAATTCTGACAGTGATTTATCCAGAAGGAACTTTTGTGAACGTAAGCAAGCTAAAGCTACACAATGAATCAAACTCAGTCAGCTTATCTTTTCCTGGAGGCTTTCTTTGGTGGGGATAACACTGCCCTTTCCTTTCACAGCTAGGTTTGGGCTTGCTACTTAGTAGGTTTTCAAAATTAAAAATATACTGTTTAGGAATACATATATAACTGAAAAAACTATAAAAGAAATAATAAAGGAAGAAGAGAAATGTGATTGTGGAGGGGCATATCAGGGATTATAAATCCTTACTACTCCAAGTGTGGTCCGTGGACCAGCAGTGTCAACATGACCTCCAAAAGTCTGTTAGAAATGCAGAATCGCACACTCCACCTGAGACCTTCTGTATCAGAATCTGCATTTCATAAGATCTCCAGCTGTTATGTAATGTGTGTATACACATTAAACCTCTAGAGTCACTGTTCTAAACACTTGTAATATGCTATTTTTATACCTGGAAGATGAGTACCTTTAGTATTATCCTCCAAAATGTACATAGTCTATACAGTCTTCTGATGATGTGACATGTCTCTAATTCAGCCTACAAATGGGCCCACTGTCTACAAACTGTTAAGTAGTAACTGTTAAAATGTGGGGGAAAGGAATGCTACATGAATCTGATCTTCAAACAGTACAAATTCAGATACAGATAAAACTTCAGGGATCACATAACCCAACCTCTTTGCTTTATGGGAAATAAAACTATCTGAATCAGGAAGGGGCATGCCCCCCAGGGTCAGACTGCTGAATTACTAAAGCAAAGTTGGATCAGAGCTCAAGTCTCCTGATCCTCAATAATATTTTATATCCTATAATAACACTGGTTTAATACATCATGACTGAATTTTTCCTTTATAAACAAATACTCATGTTAAAAGAGAAATCAGTATTAAATTTTTAAAAAGTAAAATAATTCTGAAAACCAGTACCTTGTATATTTAATAGTAGATGCCCAATATGTATGTGAATGAATGATTCACTTTGAGGCAGAGACAAACATTGTTATCCAACTCTTCTTAAAGGGATGAGCTAAATTACAGAATGATTAATAAGTAATTTCCTTATGAAAAAAAAACAGAGTTCAATTTTTAGACAATTTATAATATAGCTCCTCTACAATAACCAAAAATCACCCTTATACTTTTATCAAAATCAGAATATTTTACATGTTTATTATTTGGGTATGTGAATCTGTTTGATTTCAGTGAAATCAGTATCTGAAGTAGGACTTTTAAAATTATGTAGAATATTAAAGAACAGTAATACTCACCAATACTAATTTCATCATCTGTTTCAGCATCACCAATACATTCAAACTGGAAATCTTGCAGTGACTGGGAAAATTTCTGTACTGCCATAGACAGATCTATAATTAAAAAGTTAAAAAAAAATCGTAAGTTGAAGGTACCATGGAATATGAGATTTTCCATGTGCATTACTCTATAACTTCAATTTTAATACTTTATTTACCAGAAGCTTTTAAAATACCAGCTTGACAAATTTAAGCAGATTTTAAAGAGACTCCTAGAAGAAATATTTTAGGAAATGGATCTGCTCTGCTCACAGGGGATTTACCGTTTAAGAAAGTTTTGGTGCCAGTTGTGTATTATCTGGAAGCCAATTCCCAAAGCCTTTATCAAAAAACTACCATTCACTCCCCACAAATGGAGCATTTAAAGAAAGAAGGAAGGAAGGAAGGAAGGAAAGAAAGAAAGAAAAAGGAAGGAAGAAAGAAAGAAAGGATGGAAGGAAGGAAGAAAGAAGAAATAAAGAAAGAAAGAAAGAAAGAAAGAAAGAAAGAAAGAAAGAAAGAAAGAAAAAGGAAGGAAGGAAGGAAAGAAGAAAGAAAGGATGGAAGGAAGGAAGGAAGGAAGAAAGAAAGGATAGAAGGAAAGAAGGAAGGAAGAAAGAAGAAAGAAAGAAAGAGAAAGAAAGAAAGAAAGAAAGAAGAAAGAAAGAAAGAAAGAAAGAAAGAAAGAAAGAAAGAAAGAAAGAAAGAAAGAAAGAAAAGTCACTAAGGTTGCTGATGGAGTTGGGAGAAAGGGAGGGGAAAGCAGCCAATCTTTGATTAGAAAGAATCCCCAATGTACAGACTACAGAGCAGGTAAGGAATGTGTTTTGATCTCCTAAGGCCACCTAAAAGGCTGTTTACGAATAACCTCATGATTTATAGGGGACCTCAAGCTAAATATATTCTTCAATCCTGGCTTCAGTCTGAACAAAGTCCAGAGTGTGACTAAATCCAGAAGAATTCTTTATTCCTGGAGAAAATAAAGAAAAGCCCAGAATAATGAGAAGTAAATCCCTGGGATGCAGCCTAACAGAGTGATTAAGAATGCAATGTGAAGCCAGGCTGCCTGGGTGGAAATCCAAGTCCCCCCAGGTACTTGCTACGTGACCTTGGGCAAATTATTTAACTCCTCTGGGCCTTTTTTTCCTCATCTGTAAAGAGCGAATAACAATCGCATAACCACTTCACACAGTTGTTTTAAGGACTGAGTAAATTAATATTTGCAAAGGGTTTAGAACCAAGCCTGGCACTTAAAAAAAACTCTGTTTACGTTTTTTAAGTAAAATTATAAATCAATCTGATAGTGCAGCATCAGAGGCTTTAAAGATCCCACCTCTTGTAACTACTCTGATCATCCATACCAAACTTTCCACATAAGTCTGTGCCAGTAGCAAAACATATTTTTCTAGAATTCACTCTATAACTTCATTTAGTGGTATCTCCCATGAGTTCAAGTCCAATACCTGAACTCTTACATTTAATTCAAGCAATAGAACCCAAGAGAAGACTCTCTCCTTAACAATGTTTAGCCAGATTCCTCTGAGCCCTTACCTTGACTAGGCTTCTACCTTGGCTCCCAGTCCTCACTGGCCCTACATACTCCAGTTTTATCAAGAATCTTGCCAAGTCAGTTGATAGAGAATTCCCCACTTTGGATACAGGATCAAAATCTTCATCCCCTACCTTTGTCCTTGGCCTACCTTCAACAAGAATCCTCCTTCCTTTGATGTCTCCTACCAGTAATTTTCCATTCCAATCAAACATCCCCCTAACCCATATAGCTCCTTGGCTATAAATCCCCACTTGTTCTTGTTGCATTCAGGGTTGAGTATGATCTCTCTCCCCTATTGTGATAGATAATCTTGACACTTTTAGCAGTCTTTTTTTTTTTTTTTTTTTTTTTTTTTTTTTTTATTTGACAGAGAGACAGAGCACAAGAAGGCAGAGTAGCAGGTAGAAGGAGAGGGAGAAGCAGGCTCCCCGCTGAGCTAGGAGCCTGATGTGGGGCTCAATCCCAGGACCCTGGGATCATGACCTGAGCCGAAGGCAGTTGCTTTTAATCAACTGAGCCACCAAGGCACCCCTAGCAGTTTTGAATAAAGTCCTCCTTAACATTCTAACTGGTGTCAGAATAGTTCTTTCTTTAAGAGAACAGTTTGGCCCCATGCCTAGACATGACCCCAGGACTTACTGTGGTAACCCACCATTCATGAAACCCCAAGCACCTATCAAAGTTAAGTACTCATGAATGAATAGGTCTTCAAACACTCTTTTGTGCCATTGTGATCCAAAAAACTCAACACCACCCTGAACAAAGACAATTCTGAAGCTGACAGGCCTTAAGCTTCAGAGAGGGTTTTTTAAAAAAAATCAAAATATACACACAAGAGAAATTAAAAAAAAAAATTCTCTGGAAAGATGATGCTACTCGTAGACTACACCTCTTCCCACAAGAGGGCTAAAACTTTGGGCCAGCTGCATATTCTTCTTGAGAATTACTTTCAATTTAAGAGTCTTAGAAAGTTCTATCACCTTAAGAATGGCTCTCCATTGGGCTTTCAGAAAGAAAGATAAAGAAAGCCTTCTTAATGAATTATCAGTCAATGAGAAAACAAAGGCTTCATTAGAGCTAGACTTCACCAATTACCTTTGAGCCTTGGACAATCATTCATCCTCCCCAAAAACTATTTCTCTTATCTACACAAAAGAGAATTAATACTGATCTCAAGGGGTTGTTCTAAAGACTAAACGAAGTATGTGCCTGGTACATATTAGACAACTCAATAAATGGCATCAGTTATTATCATTCAAGTCCAACTTATAAAGGTGGGAAAGTTGACTGGCCTTCCAGACAGAAGGACACTATGCAAAAGTATGCATGTATCTGACAGTGCACAGGTAGAGAAATCTGGCTATGGGTAGAGAAATCATAACACCTACATAAAATGTTATGAGAAGACAAAGAAAGAGACTCCTGGGATAATTTTAAGTCAAGCTGTATGTGGGTACTCTCCCTGAGACGGGAATCACATTCCATTTAATGTCCCTTTATTTTTCTATGTACAATATAAACGCTTATGGTAAAATGGATTTGAAATCACAGATGCAATTCCTACAGCAGAGTTGAGATGGGGGATAGTGTATATGGATGAATCAGGATGCTTAAGAATTTTGTAAGAGACATTCTTCCTTCTCTCCCCTCCTCATCACTAGTTCCTGAGAGTTTCCCCTCAAACAAACACAATGAGCTATCTGGAAGCTTTGTCCTAGGGAACTCTAACACAGTATCCCCCAATCGAACATTTCTTCCTAAAATGCTCTTTGCTTCCCATGGCCTTGCTCCTTGACTAAGAAAGGTAAGCTGCTTTGTCGTTATGCAGACATCACAGTGGATGCACTATAAGAATTCCTGTTCCCAAACAAGAACCTAAAGCCCATTTTATAAGCTATTCTTGTCAATACAGCCAAGTGATTGAGAATGTGAGTTCTAGTGGCAGAGAAGCAGGGCTAACTTCCTGCCTCTACCAATCAGTGACATAACTGTGGGCAAGTTCCTTAACTTCTCTGTATCTCAGCATCCTCATTTGTTGAGTGGAACAGAACCTGTCTCTCAGGATTGCTGTGAAGAGAAAGTGAGTTAAATATAGATGAAGAACTTAGAACAGTCTCTGGCACACAATTAAGCACTCAAAAGGTGTTGGCTATTTCCATGTTAAACATCTTAGAAAAGAAAAAAAAAAAAAAATTCAGGAACGAAGGTGGCAGCTGTTAGACCTTAGATAACCTTGGAAAATGCCCAAGAGAACCATCTGCTGTTGATAGTAGTTTCAAATTCTCTCTTGGTGCACTGCAATCAGGCCATGACAAAGACAACCTGATTATTCAGTATTTCTGTGTAAGAGATAGGTGTCTATTTCAACCCTGGAATGAAGAATGCACGCTCTCTCCATAGTCCTTTCAGAAGCATAACAAGGCAGAATTACATTATAAAAACTTGGTTCTCAAGTAATTCAGATGATAATTCCAAAAATAATGAGAAGTTCGAAATATGACTTATTTTCAACTTCAAGTGTCTGGGTTCTTGACTTTCCTTTTATTTGTTCTCATTTTCTAAAAACCAAAGTATAATCAGGTCAGAAATATTATCAAGGTAAGGAACTTATGATATTTTCTGCCAAGAATATTGATCAATCTTCAAAATGAGGAATCCAGCTCACTCTCTTGGCTCTATCTTCCTCTGAACTAGAAAGCACAACACCTTTAACTGACTTGAAACCACATGAAAAACACTATTCCCTAATTGTCTAAAGTTTCTGAATAGTGGCCAGATGCACAATATAGAAGTACTCGTTCTAAAACCTTTTAAATAAAATTGATTCACATCTGACTATAAAACCTGATTTTAAAAATTCTACTGTTGAATTTTAAAGTGTCAAAATGTGTAATGATAAGAATCTGCATTTTCTCTTAAGTACAAAAGGGAAGATCAAGCATATAAACTATGACAAGCAGAGAGTTCTAGTTTAGGCAAGGGTGTCTCTTTCTCCCTATTTCTACCCAACTACTAGAACTTGAGAACAAACAAGAAAAAGATCCCAGTCAGAGCCACCTGGCCACATTCTAAGGTGAAGGTAGAGGAATAACATTTACCAGCAGGCAAGGTTGTACACATAAAGATGCCACAAATACTGCCCATACCACGTCTTTTCCACTTGCCTAACCTACAAGTTAAGCAAGGACATCTTCACGTATATTCACATTAAGTTGAAAGAAATTACACTGGGCTTTAATAGTCAGCAATGTTTCTATATCAGAGTTAACCTGTAGCGCCCATGATTAGATGACGCTAATGAAACACTAAAACTTCATTTCATTAGAGAAATAAAACACACTTAGTAAATAATTATAACTCTTCTTATACATTAAGAGCTACCTTTTACTTTAGAAGTGTTAATGGGATTATTTTTACAATGTTAGCTCGGAAGTGAGCTATATTTATGTCAGAGTCCACCGGTACAAGGCAGTTCTCTGAGATTAGATTTAAGACTCACAGGAACAGGGCGCCTGGGTGGCTC